GGTACCCCTTAGAAAAATCTCGGAAAAATAAAAAATTTTTTTTTTTTTTAAATATCGAAAAATATCGAAGTATATTCTAAAAAGCGTCAAAAATTGTATTTCCTCAAGTCAGTTGTTTATTCCAACTTCGCGCATACACATCAAGTACCAGAAAGTTTTCCTTGGGTTACTGCTGATTACCATAAGAGTACATGCAAATTGTAAGTCACTATAATTTTTCAAAAAACCCATGAATTGATTTAAAATTTTGCAGATAGCTTTTTAATAGTAATAGGAATCTATAATAACAAATTGAACATGCTAGCATTGTTTAAGTATATAGCCTATACATCCTTAAAAGATCTCTACCGTTCCAAACATCGATTCCACGCATAATGAGAGAGCTATTGGGTAGTACAAAGAACTCGGTTAACGATTTACCAAGAGGTTCAATTTACCAGCAACGGGGCAACATTCAACGTTTCCAGCGGCTAATTTGCTGGCTAATAAAATTCCACGGCGGGGTCTGCGCGCGACGTATGCAAATAAGAGACGCGTCGCCCGTCCAGACATTTTTATGGGGGAGAGACTCACGTTTTCCCTCTCTTTCGTAACGCGTGCACGCTGCCCTTTGGCGCAGTCGTGGCGGGCGGAATCGACCTTAAGGTAAGCGGACTTACGTTCATTCCCGCTTTCGAGCCGGAGCTATAACCGGGCCGTTCCAACGTCTGGAATTTCGAGCAATTTCCTCGAGAATAATGCAATACGTAGAGAGGCCATTGTGTGTGGACCAGGTGGGGGGATACGCGCGCCACGCAACAAACGACGAAATATCGACACTGCCACGCGAGATCCGGTGGACGAACGGCGGGGGTGTGATGGAAGGGGTGACTCAGAGGCGATGGCCTGGGACAACGAGCATGAATACTGTATCGGAGCAAATGCAGTCGTCTATAGGTCGACGTGCGAACGCGCGCCGGCAAAAACATTTTCGCGCGATGCATTTTCTACCGAGCGTCACGGGTAATACGTGCCCATCCACCCACACACAGACACTAATACAGGCGTGGACTGAAAATGCTCGCGGAAGGAGGGAATTTGCGTAATATATTTCGCGTAAGCCTGGGGGGGAAAAAGCAGGAAAAATAGCGGCTGAAGCGTCTCTTTGTGCCGCCTGGCGTCACTCGTGCAACGATTTCGCGTAATTTACATTAGAAGGCGCGGCCCGTGTCGCGGTCTCTCTTTCACCGTTTTCTCTCGTCGCGACTCGCTGTGTTCGGCACGCTGCCCATACTTTGCGTGTAAAATCCGATTCAAATCTACTCATTCTTGTCCGCTTTAGATTCCGCGGGAAGTAGAAAGTTGTGATTAATCCGCTTGTCATTATTCTTCTCTCGATCGAATCCCATTACCGTCGACGATGCGCAGGGCTCGCGATTAGGAATCCCATCATCCAGAGTCTAGGTATTCGCGTACCTGGATTAACGATATCCTTTTGGATCAACGACATCGCGTGCTCGAATTTTCGCGATAATCAATCAACTCGAGGTTATTTAAGCAAAGTCGTGACACTGCCGTTCCTCGAGGAGATACGTGTGGCACTATCAAGTTAACGAGAATGCGATACTATTGAAAACATCGTTTTCCCATTTACCCGCCATTCCACATTCGGTAACGCGTGCCTGTTAATCCGATATGCCCCGGGGTGATTTCGTGAAAAAGGAAAATACAAAAGCGGATGATTAACGCCAGATGAGAGATTCAGCGAGTTACTTTATTGTATGTACACTTTCATTTCATTAAATAACCAGATTTTCAGTTTTCAGAATGCGCAATTGTTCTGTTCCACTAAAACAAAGAATCCCTTTCCGCGTGATTACGTTCGATGAAACTGCAAAATGTAACGATCACTGCAGACTATGTACATATTTTTTATTTGCGGGAAGAAGGGAACCGTGGATTACGCAATTGATGCAAAGGTAAATTGCGAGATCTTTTACGAGCATCAATCCGGGACACGCGAACCCTACCGAAATTAAATCGGTCGCCGGTGCGCATCGCCGCGAACCATTCTTGGCACACAGCGGCGGCCATTATTTCGGTCAAACGCAGGCTACGGTACGAGACAACGGGAAATTTTCATTTTGCACGGCCGGTCGCTTAACAGCAGCGTTGGCCTCCATTAAACGCGGCACCGGCTCGGGCCTAGTTTCCAAATCATTTTCAACGCTACTTCCCAACGACGCGTCCCTGCCCTCGCCTCTTTTTTTATTATTCGCCGATTTACGACACGTGCACGCCGTCCACGCGGACAACCGGGAGGATTTTCCATTAAAGAAATTTGCATATTAATGGAACCGTGCCACGCTGCGAGACACGATTGGTTCGGAATTTCGATGAAACGGGGAACAAATAAAGGAGATCGAATTTTGGCTGAAGATTGAGGACCGGTATTAATATCGAACTAAAAACGGAAACGTTGCCTGCATCTTTTAATGGGTCGTGTGAAAGTCAGTTGATGAATCATTTTTCACAATGTCGTTTCACGTCATATATACATATATGTAGACGGCGAAGAAATACACATATCGAACAATAATTAAGTAATTGTCTTCTTTTCCCATATTTGTCGTAATATTTTCAGATGACAGACATCACATGCTGCCATCCGGGGAGCTGCTGGTGTTCTCGGTGACCACATCGGATGCCCAGTCGAGCTACCGTTGCCGCACCGTGCACCGTGTCACCGGCGACACCGTGGAAAGTTCCTCGTACGCCAGGCTCGTGGTCACCGGTAAGTTGTTCAAGTTTTCCGCGATAATGCACGCACACTTGGCCGCAGTTGTTACCGCGGAAACGTTTGTCCCCCGTCGTTCGGCCGGTCGAAACTTTCCAAGCAGTTGAATATTTAATACGAGCAAATGCATGGGAAATTCCGCCGGTCGAGTTCCGCGACACGGGGTGAACCGCGGTACCCAGGTGGATCCAGGGTTCAAACCACGTGCGGGTAACCCACTTGTTTATTCCTCAGTTTTCCCTTCTTTCCCTCAGAACGAGGGATTTTGTAACTCTTTATGCGAATTTATATAGCGTACGCAACGCGCCGGATCACGCTGAAGGAATTTCAAACCGACATTGTTTAATGCCAGAACTTAACGGTTTGGCATCCCGGATCTACGAATAGTTTGAAACTCTCTGCAGAAACGTCTTCTAGAAGTAGGTTTGTTATAAACTTCGGTTATTAGAATATTCATTAGAGGGTTGTTATTAAAATATAATCAATTAACAACGAATTCGCTGATCAGAATATTAAACATTATCAGAATAGTATTGCCTATTTTGTACGTATGGACGTATCAATGTTTCGAACAAGCGGAATTTAGCTAAAATACATATATCCACTAACTTGCGGCATCCGTACGTGTGGAATCATTCATTCAGAACGTCTCTTGGGGATATCCATGAAACGGTTCGCGCATCTACTTAAACATGAGCGTTTATACGTATAACGATCCCGCACATACCTTTTGCATAGTAAATCATAATGCATTGTTGCGCGTTTCCTGTGGCATGGGCGAGCAGCCAGCGAGCTTGCCACCGCGGCGGGCGCGCGTGCGGCCGGTTGGTTTCTCGCTTCTTCATGAATAAATCATGAGTGTCCGAAATGCTAATGGTCGAAACGTTCGCCACGGGTCGTCGGCTGTTTCTGCATCGAACGCCCGCGCCGCGCCGTTCCGGGCCGGAGTGCTCCGAGTCGTAAACAAAATGCGCACGCCGACATCGACTGAAAATACGAGCCGATCCGACCGAAATGGGTCCCGGCAGCTTTTACGCTCGTCGTTCATCGCGCGTTTCTGCTACCCGTAAATAGGTTACAACCTAATTACGAGCATTGTCGCGAGTTCCCGAGTAACGTCACGCCGTGTTTCCCTCTTCGTGAAGAGCGATTGTTTGTTTTATTACAAACGGATCCACCGCTACGGATGCGACTTTCATGCGTTTCCTGAAACAGAGTGCTGCGATACAAACAATGACGTTTGCTGAAGTCAGGCTGCACGTTAATGCCTTTTTAAACTCGACGGTACTTTAATTCTACGAGGAAACGATTCCTGATTTCGGCAACCAGAGTCCTTTAGACACGAACTTCAGTCGTTTCGGGGAAAGGATCATTTGAGATTCGCGTTTACGTGAGATTTACCATGGATCGACCTAGAATTCTTCCGCCTCTACGGTGCGCACGACATTATTCTAAGCGATCGTAATCAACCCTTGTTAACAATCTAGCCGTGAACACGGTTCGTCGTCGGCGTACTTCATCGCACAGTGCCGGTGGAGAGCTGCTGATTCATAAGACATAAAATGGGTCGAATCTGGATGAGCGGCTGGAACAATAGATGGCTAATGATCAAAGTGCAACCCGAGATGCTCCGCGCTACCAGCAGTGGCTGGAACACGCGGAAGACAGGACGGAATCGAATGCGAGATGAACATATTGTTCGTTAGTTGCGCGCCTCGACCGTCTCGAACGACGAAATCAGGAGTCTGTTGTCGACAAGAGTACAACCGAAGGAGACATTTCTAAGATTTCAACCCTTCTCTCTCAGTAGAACGAAAATAGAAATAAAAGTTTCGAACATAACAAATTTTTTATTCATTCATTTGCTGTACGATTTCGTTCTCCAGAATCGTTTTCAATTAATCACGATCTAAAAATAATTGTTGAATTAACCAGTTAAGTGTGTTTGACGACTATATCCGTCATGGAAGAATGACAGAATTTTGTGTTATGACGGCTATATCCGTGAATAAATTCATTCATTTTCTAAAATAAAGTCGTCTTTTTGACCCAATATTTCAACAGCGCCACTTACTCTGTGTTTGACGACTATATTCGTCATCGCTTGATCATCGCGACATACACTGGGGCGCACTTTGCAAAATGATCGACACAGTTAACTGGTTAATGATAATCCGAAAATGATGAAGTTTTGTTTTGAAAGTAACCACGCCTCGATGTATCAAATAAGATTGCACAGAATATCTCGGGAGATTACACATCGTGTCAAGTTGATGGTAAGGCGACGAGATATTAATTGATCTTGCCAAGCGGAGGTGACGTTGGCTCGGGTTTGAACGTAAATTCGCGGGCGCGTCGGTTCCCATCAGTGTCTCGGCACCACGGCATCTGTCGGTTCGCCTTTTATCATAGCCACAGCCATTATCCAGGTTTGCGTTTTTCGCAAGCTTTCGTGTCGCCCTCCTTGCCGCCACGCCGAAGTCACAACAGCAAGGCGCCATTTTAGGCAAGAGAATCGCCTTTTAAGCCGACTCATCCATTAAACAGCTAGGCCGAATGAACCGCAAGTCGTTTAAAAGTGACATTTCTCGGACAAAATGCCTCGTCGTTTCATTTAATGGATCCGCATTTCGAGCGAATCTTCTGACTCGTTTTTCTCCTCGATGACTAGACGATGAGTCGAACGAGAAATAGAGACAACATGATTTTTCTCGTTTTTCGCCAGGGAAAGTTTAATCTGTACTCTCTGCGTCACGTTACGATGTTTAGCAAAGCGTCTATCCCTTCGTGCGTCTGCCAGCTGGGGTTGCGGCTGTTTTCGCTCGAAGCGTGGCTTTGTTTGAGGATGCTGAAAAATTGGTGCGCGAAGAAATGGAAGGTACCACGTGTTTCCCCCTGGGCTCGATGAAATATCAGGAAGTCTGTGTTATATTTTCCTTTTTTAAATTCGGTGTAGACAGATTTCATAGAATTTGGACAAGTTTCATATTGAAGAATTGATGAACAATAAGTTTGCGTGTATAACCAAGTGAAACGATCTCTCGTTCAATTATTTCACTGTTATCAAACTATCAAATAACTTCCGATAACGCAAACGTTGATCGAACTGCGATCACGGAGTTCGTCGGTCGATTTAGACAGAGCAAACCGACGAACTTAAAAGTTTTATAAGCCACACCGGGATAGTTCTCAGTTTCTGCACCGCGATATCTCCCCATCAACTGATATCCAGTCAGTGGCGATAAGTTTAATTCAATTGGACTTTGCATGGTTAAAGAAAGTTCGGAAAAGGAATCCTTCTTTGTTGCGTCGGTTCCGTACGACTTGATCTGCGCGTCGAATTAGTTCCGCGGTCGGATAGCTTCCTAGCAGTCTAGCATCTTCTCTTTTATTGCGGGCTCCTGCAGGGTCCTGCGCGCTTTTTGCGCTTCACAGCGCGCGTGGAACTTGCACCGAACTGCGGAACGCCGAAGAAGAACGTCGTACTTTCGTGTCTCGGCCGAAATCCAAAGCGTAACTCACGCCAGGGTGCTTAACCAGCGTGGCGGAGGAGAGTCACCTAAAAAGTTCCAACGCGTTGCTTTATTTACGGTCTGACCGGGCATTGTTGCGCGACAAGTGGTACTCGTCGTGGAATGGAACATTGATTTCGTGATGCGAAGCAGAAAGAATATTTAAAACGCCCAGACGATTTGCACTTGAGGATACATAATACAGTTTTAGAAGTATACGAAATTTCGCGATGGTTCGCATATACGACGAGGGACAAAAATTCGGTTATCGCGATGATAAATTTACGTTGAAAACTGTAAATGCAGATTTATCGCGTTTATTCGGTACAGTGCAACGAGGGAAGAGAACAGGGTACGAGAGAAAAAACAAGTAGAAGATTCACGAGTTAGCGCACGGGCGCCACACGTTCGTGGTATTACTTCTAAGTACTTTAAAGACTCTCCCGGCTGGCAGCCACGGAAAAATGTTGAACTTTCCTAAATCCGTGGAATAAGGCGAGAAGCGTGGTTTCTTCGAGGTGCGCTTTTATGATACCCCCGTGCCTTTTTTTGCCGGTCAATGGCGGGGTTGCTCGAGGATGGGAGAGACAGAGTCGGATAGAGAAATAAAGAAAAAGGGCGGAAGAGAGATAAAGAGAGGCGGTCTCGCCGGATGGGAAACAGAGGGTGGAAGGGTGGCGGCAACCGGAGAGGAAGGAAGCCGAAGAAGAAGGAGACGCTCCGGCAAAGAAAAGGGGGACGGGAGCTTGGATATCGCCCTATTGGAGAGTCGACGAAAACGCAAAGTACAATCCAGCAGAGCCAGAATGCAGCCAGTCGTCTGCGGAGCAACGTCGGCAAGAAACAATGCAGCCATCACGGCTCCAATCCCTTCGCTCGCTACCCCGCAATCTTATCGAGACCAACTTACTTGTATCTCTCTTTTCCGGGAGACCTATGTACGAAGACTATGTGCGTGTCGTGTATTCGTAGGCCGTGTATACACGGATGCGTGTACGTGTATTGTGGAGCGTGCACGAGTAACAAGAAATAGGCGAATAGGATGATTTGTAAGGAACCTAGACAAGCAATGTCGGGGTTGTTCGAATTCAGCTCGAAGATTCGCCGAGCCGAATTACACGGCTGAGGTCTTAGTGGTTTGCCTCCTGTTCCACAAGCCTTCCTCGAGCATTGCTTGTTATTATAATGGTCGAATAAATGCTGAGAATTCTGCCCTTAGTATAATATTTGGCAGGAGCGAACGTATTCGTTCGAATTTCTCTAATGAAGTATGTTACACAGGATCTAATAATTTCTCTCCGGGTATTGGGTGGCAAGACTGTTTGTACATGCGAAGTAAATGGAAAGGACAACATCGACGTTTGAAGATTAAATTTCCTTGAGACGAGGGTACACAGAGAAAGAACGGCGGGAAATATACTCGTTGACGAAGACAAACAACGTTTGCCTTTTTTTACCGGAAAGGCACGTACAGCGGTGATTCAT